GGGGGGGTGGGGTGTCAAATCCAGTTTTGTTCCCCTTTTGGGGGTAGAGAAGAGGAGCAGTGACCATCAGAGTTACAGCCCATCTGAGCGTTGCGTTGAGTCTTTCCCCAGTCTGTTTGTTAATGTACACCCATCCAGCCAAGGTTTGAACAGCACCTGGTTCCCTCATCGAAGGTCAGGCCCCAGGAGACTCCAGTCTTAGCTCTGCTGGTGTGTGCAAGCAAGCTGCTGTATATGCTTGCATGGACTTCCTTCCCCTCCAGGGCAGGATAATACCCAAACCCCTTGGGGAAAGTTCCAGCTCCAGCTTTGTAAGGTACCCATGTTTATTACATGTAGCCCACTTGGTGCCAGGCTGCACAGACAGATCAGGTGGCCATGTCCCAGAGAGGCCCAGTGAGGCTTGAAAGGCATCTTCCTTGTTTCTTCAGTGTGTGTGAGGATATGTGAAGCCCACTCCCACCCCCCACACACCTCCCTTAAGTTATTTGCTCTGGCTTGGCAGTTATGGGGTTTTGAACACTGTGCCGTATTTGACACGGTACTTGTTAATGCTCACAAAGTGCAGGGTCTCTGTGTCACAGGTGGTGGTACAGGGCACCAGGCCCTCCAGCCCCTCACCCATGAGCCACTTGCTGGTCTCCGCTGCCATTTCACGGGGCACATGCTCCTTGGTCCATTTATCTACCCAGGCCTGGAACCTCTGATGTAGCCTTTTGCTTACACGCTCATGGGACTGCAAAACAGAACAAGCAAAACAAAACAAAAAAACACCCATGAACTAGGACCAAAAAAACTCCATTCAAATACAAAGCTCAATTTTCTCCTAAAGTAGCAAAGGAAAGATGTGGCCTCAAATCTCTGATACTACTGGTTAGTGCAGGGGGGAAGGAATAGGAATCTATGTTTAAAGAAGAGAATCACAAGAGGTTAAGAACATAGAGCATGTAAGGAGTTGGAACCCACTGAGCCACCAAAGAAATGCCAACACAGGGTCTGGGCAGAACAAGTTCAGGGCTCCTCAATTTTAGCATTCATTAGTATCACCTGGAACTACAATCTACATTATAAAATCAGCAATTTAGCTGCTTCTAATACAGCCCCAAATGACACATGAGTTGCGGCTGTTGGTCATTTCTATCAGCAGCATGGCAATCCACTTCTAAATAACATGACGCAAATTAAAGGGCTTAAAACCCACTCTCCCTCACAGTATTACCTCTACCCTGCCCAGCAGAGTGCCAGGCACAGCAGATCTCCAGTGGAGGTTCATATTCCTACCTATGTATCCTATAAATATTTGCTGATGCCCATGTGCAAGGCAGAATAGGAGAAAAAGGTAAATTAGGGGGTGCCTCGCTCCCCAAATAATCTGAATCAGAGACACAGATATATAACACACAGTACCATGAGAGAAGTACATTAAACTGCCCACCCAGCATATCCCACTTGAATGTTTTGTCCTATCAAACTTAACCAGTTCAAAACAAAGTACTTGATCTGCCCCTCAAGTATGGTAACTTCTTCCTAATAACAGATGTATCCCTAAATTTCCCACTTACTGAAGCAAAACAAACAAAATAACAGAAACCACCAGGCATCATCCTTTGATGTTCTCCTTTCTCTGACCTCAAACAGGAATCTGATCATTACCATCTGGCAACTGTATCTCCAAACTGTATCTACTGTCTATCTAATCCTTATAATCCCATTGCCACCTTTTTACCAGCCCAGGTCACCATCACATCTCACGTGAATAAGAGCAGTCTTTTTGAATGGTCTCGGCCCTTCCAACTTTGTGCCTACGCTGTTCCCATTCTCATCGTAACAGTCCAAGCCATCTTTGTCAACAATGTCCCAATGGACCTCAAACAAAATCCAAACCATGGCCTATAAGACTAAGCAATGTGGCCTCTACCTACCCTTCCAACTTCAGACATCCCACTTTCCTTATGGCTCAATATACAC